ACACAAAACTTAAGAAATGGGGGGCTAGTTTTAAATGAAAAAGATCCTGCAAAATTCCTTTCTACCTAGCATTGACACCACCAATCACACAACATAATCCTTTAACCATCAGTGACTAGCACTTAAAAGAAATGCCTAATTAGCCCTTTACTACAACTATTTTGCCAAAAATCAATGACCAATCTTTTAGCAATTGAAAAAGTAAAATTTCACAAAAAATAAACATCCCTTGGTAGGGAGCAATAGCACCGAAAAAAAAAAAATGATAGAGGTGAGCCCTTAAGAGTTTGGCTTTGGGAGTTTGATGAGGCTTTTAGCTTTGATTTTTTGTTAGTATGAAGGTAAAGAAATGATAAAAGATGTAGTTGAAGTTGTGGTTTTTGGCACAATGGAGATGATTTGTTTTGGCTATAAAACTAACAAATTTATGCTTAGATGTAGGACTTTCGAATGAGTTTTGGGTAAAACCAAGTAGAAAATAAGAAAGAGGTGGAGAGGTATTTTTTGGTATTTTTGGGACTTTTCCAGCATCGATGACTGGTGGCTAATAATGGTGGATGGTAGTGCTATGGTAGTCAAATTTTGGGTTTGGTGAAGGTTGCTGGCAGTTAGATGGAGAGAAGAGAGAGAGGTTTAGAGAGAAAAAGAGTGTAAAGAGAGACAAAAAGGAAAAAATGAGTAGAAAAATATTTAGCTTTTATAGTTAAAAGAAAACTTACTTGACCTGTGCGTGGATTCGAACCAAATCCAAGCTCAACGCACCCTACTTGGTGCCTGACTATTGTTGACTAGCCCTAGATTGGTTTAATCAAACCACAGTGAATTAAATCAAATTGCACCTGAACCATCAACCCTTTTTTAATACCTGAACTGACTTGCCAAACTACTGTTGAATCGAACTGAACCCTCAATGAACCGTTGAACGACTTTGACCAACTTTTTATTTTTATATTTTGTTATGTTATTTATTTGTTTATCTACGCATACTTAAATTTTAAATTGTAAAATAAATTTATATTAAAAAAGAAAAGGAATCAAGTGTAAAAAAAAAAACCCTAATAAAAAATAAAAATCTTTCGATAATGAGATATTAAGAAAATTTGAGTAGTGATTACTTAAAAATTTTAGAGTGAGGATATTTTTCTAAAATACTACTAAAATATTGGAATATTTAAAAAAATATTTAATAAAATGAATTTTTGTTTATTTTTTTAATTAAATAAAAAATAAAAAATGAGTTCTTTCAGAAATAAAATTTATACAATAATGCATGAATATTATTTGCATTAATTAAATAAAAAATACAAGCTTCCGAGGATAGTATTATAAGAAAATCCGAGTAATGATTTCTAAAAAATTCTTATGTGAGAAAATTTTTCCTAATGTTATCAATATACTAAAATATTTGGAGAATTTTTCAATAATAAGGTTCTCATTTTTTTCAAATAAAAATGAAATAATAATTTTTACTAAAAAATGGAGAAAATTGTGAAGAGAAATGAAAATAAGAAAATCAAAATTATGATAAAAAGGAAAGTTAAGAAATTTATTTTAAATATCAAAATTAAAAGAAAATACGATTAATTGATACCATTTTAAAAACAGATGTTGTGAGGATGTTAAGTTTTCCTACACGTAATTATACGCTCGAACCTGTCTTTGTTTTCCGTTGATCCTAAATTATCTTTTTAAATAATCTTAATTAATTTTAACATTTTAGTAGAAAAATAAGTTTTATTAAATGGTTAATCGCACCTAACCTAAAAAAAATAAAAAGAAATGGTGATTACTCCTTGTATTTTTAAATTCGTCTGTTGATCCTAAAACCATTAAGATATGTTGCTACCATAATTCTTGTTCTTTATATATTTTATTTTTGTGATCTTTCATTTGGATTTTTGTACTTGCAAGGAGACCTTCTTGGCTTTTTATTAAAATTTTTTGGCTTTGAAATAAAAAGAAGAACCATTAGTATTACGGTTTAAATTTCACTTTTTCGTACTATTTGAGCAATTGATATGTCAATATCAATTACATACAAATGATAATTTTGATTAAATTTTATTTGCCAAAAAGTTTTAACATTTATAAATAAAATGGCAAAGATAACCTATTGTTATAATGATCTCAAATTAAAATTTTAATAATATTAAATGATCACGTAAAAGTTTTAATAATAAATCACTTAAATAATCATAATAAAGAAATAAATTAAATTATAAAAAAAATATAAGTTTAAAGTAAGAAAACAAAAAACAAAAGTTCAATCACAAAGTCCATGAAACTCATTAACATCTTACAATATTTATAATGTTATAATTCTCAATATTTTTTTCATAAAATATCAAGACTACCATCAAATATTGATTAAATTTTCTTCAAATTCTTTTAGAACATATGGTTTTTTTAACATATATCCCATTAATTAAAATTCTTCATATTCTACCATCAAAAATATATATCTATATATAACAGTGAAGGATATTACGTATGCCGACCTAAACAAAAACTTAATATCCCCAACAAATGATATATATGGAAACCAATAGTTGGTTTCGGCACCAAGTGGTGGACACTGGTGGATATGTCAACCTCAAATTAAGAAGATGTACTTTAACAGCTAGAAACAGGAGAATAATTTGGTATCGTTTGGATTCGATTTGATCTAAAGTTGAATTTAGATGTAGCACCCAAAAGAAGGCGGAAAATTTAAAAAGAAAAGACAGCGAGTAGATACTCGGTTTTGTTGTCTACGGCAGTCAAATCCAAAACAGTGCTTTAATTCTTTGAAATTAGGTCATACTGATCCTATCGTAGAATAAAGAAAAATGTATGGTAGAGAGAGGTGGAGCTTTTCGCCTCTCTCCACAAAGCGATTTTCACAAACACAAACACCATAAAGAGAAAGAAAAAAAAATGCTTTGGTTTGCAATTTTTTAATAGAGACTGGTCTTAGAGAAGGAAAGGTAGGGTTGTGTTGTGTCTATATACTATGGTGGGTGGGAATGGGAAATAATAGAAATGTGAGAGAAGGAGATGCCTTTTGTAGGCTATGGTGGATAGTTTTGGCATGGCTTCCCTCTCTGTCGTGAGTGGGTTTTGGGTGATCATTCCAAAGTGAAAAGGAGGCCAACTTTCTATGAACCCATTCCTTTATGGATCACCACTTTGCATTGCATGTCCCCTTTGAATGCAAGCAAACCCCCTCGCACGTCTTACAGAATATTCTCCCTATTTTTTCATCAACACTGCTCTGCTTTCCCCACTTCCCTCTTTTGTTTGTTTTTTTTAATCAATGGGACACCATTTTAAGTGAATGGACTTGCCTATCCCAACTTGAGCGGTTTCTGTTTCTTTTCTTTTTCCCTTTTACAATGATGAGAAACTCTTTGCAACTTATTCATTATTTCCTCCATCTTAAAATGGTTGAACTGTATTGATTTTCAAAATTAAAAAAAAATTTTTTAATATATTTAATATTAAAATTAATTTTTTATAAAATTAAAGTTTCATAATTTTGAATGTTAAAAAGTAAAAAAATATAAAAAATTAAAATATAAAAAGGTAAAAATTTTAGATATTTTAAAAAAGAAAAAGCATATAATTTTGAGACAAAAAAAAAAAAGAGACAGAGAGAGTACTTATTAATTAATTACCAATATTTTATACTACTATCAAATCAGAATATTCTCATACGATTTTAAAAGCATAATTTTTCATATTGGCTATGTTCATTTAAAATTTTATTTTCAGAATATTTCTTAAAACATTGAATTCTGATTGATAAAAAAACTCTTTTTTTTTTATCATTTGGACTAACTCATATGCGAATCTTATTTACTTCTATAGTATACATTATCATATTGTACTATATAAATCCATTTAATTAATGGGAATTAATTAAAATTTTAAGGACATTGAACAATGTCTCACTCTAAGTACTTAATCCTTTTTCAAATCTAGAGAGAATCTGACTTAATTAGGGTTTTTGGATGAAATTTAATACTACCGACTACTACTAGGGAAAATCATTATTTTCATAGTAATAATTTTAAATAGCTGATCTCCTGTGTTCAGGTAAAAAAATATGGAAGCATGGAAGGTTGGGCAGGCAGAACAGCAGCCTAATTGAAAGTATTTCATTGTTTCATCTATAAGGTCATACTCACCGGCACGCTTTGCTTGATTTGATCAAAGCACACATGCATAGAAAATTACGAATATTGCAGCAGCAGATCAGAGCTGCAGCCTGCAACCACTTATATATATATATATATATATGCACACAAATCTAAGATAAACAATGCACTGCCCACTTTGCTTGCCACCCTACCCTAAATATTCCAATTCGTTTCTGTTAGTATTTCCGTTTTCTCCTTCGATCCCCACACTAATTCCCACTCACCATCATCACCAAAAGCGTATCATGATATCCAATCCAACTCTTTGGAGGACAAAGAAATGAATTGAATGAACTCTTTTGTTTTATAAGTTTCTCTTTTAATTTCTCGGCCGGTTGGGTTTCGGTTTTTCTAAGATTTCTTTCTTTCTTTACAAACCTACTCTACTTTCTTTGGTTTCATCATTTTTTAAATCCATCCGCTATTATTGCTTTTACTATCACTTATAATTACATTCAAATTGAACACTATTAGAAAATGAAGTTTTAGCAACCACAATTTACAATGATTAAAATTATTGTTGCAAAATTTAATTATATTTGTAATGATTCATATTTGAATTTTTTATATTTTATACAATGATAACTTTTGTCATTGTTAAGTTCTATACAGTAAAAAAAGTCGTTAAGAAATTTTATTATGTTTGCAACTACTTTTCACGCATCTCTTCATGCATCTAAATTTCAGGTGTGTATAGAGAAAATATGTCGGAAGCGTGGTGGTGATCTGGATGGTTTCTGTTCATGTATCTCTATGCATTTGTTTCTTTGGTTTTTTTAAGAGTAAAAATAAAATTTTATTCATAACAAAGTTGGGTCATTATAGCCAAGCTACAAAATAACAAGATGTATGCACCCCCATCTTAGCTAGAGAGTTCGCAAAATGATCAGCTTCTTTAAGAATATGAACAAAAGTAATGTTCTTCATCCTAGCAAAAAGATTATACAGCCTATTCAGTAAACCATTATACTTCCAAGGGCATTCACTTACTTTTTTGAGCCAAGTTGTGATGACGTTGGAGTCACTTTCAATAATGATGTCAAGAGGAGATCAATGTTGGCGTTAGCCACAATAGTGAGGGTTTCAACTACTTCCAACAGCTCTACCAAGTTCGAGTCCTTGACTCCAACATTTTTAGGGAACATTAGCAATACTTTCCCCTTCCAGCTACATATAACACCTCCTATTCCTGTAGGACTAGGTTTACCAAAAGCTGATCCATCTATATTGACTTTCCAAACTCTTTCAAGGGGGGGACCATTCAACATTCTTCCTACGTTCTTTTTTACAGTGGGAAATGAATATATCTTGCAAGCTTGATGCAAAATTCAATGGCAAGGGGTTTAGATTTGGATATTTAGCACTCATCCACCAGGCAAGTCTTGTACAAATCAAGCTGAAGATGCCGTCAATTGAGTTGGTTTGCTGCTTAAAGACTTTTTCATTTCAGGCAAACCAGATTGACTAAACTACTGTATAGAACAATATATCCCATATGATCTGATGTTGTTTTTTAACTGTAAGGTAACTCCAGGAATCAAAAAGACTATTAAGCGACCCAGAAATAGCCCATAAGATGCCCCACTGATTGTAACACTTACACTAGATATTCTATGCTAGATTATAAAAGAGAAAAAAGGTGATTTACGGATTCAACTTCACCACAAAAGGAGCATTTATTTTCCATGTTTATCAGGCTACCTTGTTTATGCAACACTTTAATCATAGGAATGCCGCTTTTTAAAGCTTTCTAGCAAAAAACTTCAACTTTGGATGGGCCAATACCTTTCCAAATGTGTTTTTCCTTAGTGACAGTAGTATATGTGACTTTCCGTAGTTGCATGCGAAAGGATTTGGATCGATAAACGCCATTAGTAGTATGCACCTATATGAGATGGTCATGAGTTTGGTTACAAAGTGACACAGAATTAAGTAGAGTTGTAAACTACCACTAAATTTCTAATTCCTAGTCAAAAAGATTCTTTAAGAGAAGGATTTGCCATTTCCATGTGTATCCATCTCATTCAACATAGTCTTTAATGAAACCATTTTTATTAATGGCGAGAGAGTATATCCTTCCAAAAGCCAACTTGAATGATGGACCTTGAATCCCTTTGTCGCTCCAAAAATGAATATTTGTACCATTGCCTGCACAAAAAATAGATTAGATTGTATAATGTTAGAAAAACACCCCTCATCCTATATGTTTTGAATATTACTTAATATCTAAAAAAGTGATTGAGGAGGACAGGATGTAGGCCACAAATCCTTAGCAAGGAGATTATATTTGCTACAAATTATAGCCTCCATAAAGCTTGCTGCTCGTTACCAAACCTCGTGAGCTATTTCAACAACATGGTTTGGTTATAATGAAGCATTTTAGAGATACCTAGCTCTCCATGATACTTACTTTTTCATATTGAGTTCTAATTCACCAACCTTATATTCCTTTATTCTCTGAGTTTCCCCATAAAAACTATCTTTCCATTTTCTCCAATTCTAATAGGACCCTTCTGGGAGCTTTGAAAAAGGACATATAATATATTGGAAGATTAGCTAGAACTAACCTGATTAAAGCAATTCTCCCACCCAAAAACAAAAGCTTGCTTTTCCATTGACTTAGCCTATTCTTGAACAATTGAATGACTAGTTGCCATGCAAATATTAGCCTTGGATTAGCGACTAAAGGAAGACTAAGGTACTTTGTGGATAAATGATCTATCTTGCATTGAATGTTGCCAGCCCATTTTGATAGAGATTGCAGATCAATGTTAACTCTGATTAGAGCACTTTTTGAAAAAGTTAACTTTGAGGCCCATTGCTAATTGAAAATATCAAAGAATCTTTTTAATCATGAAAAGATGCTTAAAATTAGGCTAACAGAGAATAATTATGTCATCCATGAATTGAATATGAGATATCTACAAACTACCTTTCCCAACTCTTATTTCTCTGATAAGTTCCAAGTATAGACTCAATGCTTCTGTAACCATTACAAATAAAAAAAGAGATAGGGGATCACCTTGTTGAAGACCTTGCTACATCATAATAGGATTAGTTAGGAAGCTGTTAATTAGAAATGATATTGATGTTGAGGAGATACAACCTCTAATCTAGTTAATCCATTTATTCTTGAAGCCTATAAGACTCATGATGTGCAAGAAAAAGTTCCAGCTAACTTTATCAAAAGCTTTCTCAAATTCTAACTTAAGCACAACAACTCAATTAGCTGATTTTTTGGAAACTTTTAATGATCTCATTAGCAATAAAGATGCTATCATAATCTGATGACATTCCATAAAAGCAAATTGGGAGGGACTTATGAAAGAAACCATAACTTGTTTCAATCTATTGGGCAAGACTTTTGCCAGTATTTTGTAAACTGGGATTTGCAGCATGAACAGTTTTGAGTTTTAACTCAAAGTAAACAGGGTAATTTTGAGAACATAATTCATCCCATGGTGAGGAAAGTTTAAGAAAGTATTGTTGTAACCAAAATTTGGAATGTTTTTCATCCAATTTTTGATATTCTGAAAGATATTTTTTAGAAAAATCATCTAAAAACTTAATATCACATAATTTTAATTTTGATAAAATAAATTGAGCTTCTTGAGTAGGATCCAGGGATTCTGTACTACCACAAAACTCATTTTTCAAGATTTGGGTTAAATCTTTCAAAAGTTGAGGGATATTACTGACAACTAACAGAGAGGATTTTTGCTATTCTCCGAGGGTTGTCTTCTCCCATTTCTTGAGGAATTGCAGGACATCACCTTGCCATGTGCCACAAAAGTAGTTGAAGAATCTTTCTCGTCCCCATGTATCCTTGTAATTTGTGACTACAATAGACATAGATTGTGCCCAATCATCTATGGTTTTTCCATAGTTTTGAAGAGGGACTTTGGTTAAGTCTAAATATGTACTTCCTTGAGAAACCGTTCGTTTGTTTAACTAATCGATTAAAGGGATTTCTGTCTGAACCTAACTTGTTTGGCCAGAATCAGAAGTTTGTTTAATCTCATCTTTGATCTCATCCTTGTTTAGGTGAGCGTATTTTTCCTTAAGATGAGGAAGATGTTGATCCATTAAATCTGGATCTAATAAATCTGGAAATTACCTTAGATCATCAATATCTGGGTTAGATATTGCTTCGGCTTTTGTCTTCCCACGCGCCTCTGGTTGAGGGGTTGGAATTTCAATTTGTTCTGGATCTGTTTGATCATCAGAACTATCTTTTTCATCAGATGTGTTTTCATCGGATGAAGGTGGTTCATCCTTAACTACTGGGTTAGTAGCAAGAATTTCAAAATTATCTTCCTCATTAGATGTGTTTTCATCGGATAAAGGTGGTTCATCCTTGACTATTAGGTTAGTAGCAAGAATTTTAAAATTATCTTCAACTATATCACTATTTACTACTTTACTACTGGCACTGGTTGTGTCATAGTTGATCATATAATGATATTTGTATTTAAGAAACAGATCTTTATGTTCTTCATAAAGAGTTTCTATAGCATTAAGGTAATCAATCCATTGTTGCGGATCATTACTTTGCTTCATTTTTAATTTAAAATTTTCAATAATATATTTATAAGTGTCGAAATCAAGTTGTTCTTGTTTCGCCTTTGTTGAGGTAGAAGATGAGGGTTTGTCATCGTTCATCATAATATTGCCATAGTAAAGTGGTCCAAAATTAGTAGATGTTTCAAGGGGAACATGCTTTTGGTCCATCTTTTCTACAAGCATATCTACTTTATCTTCAATATTATCAATTTTTACAAAAAGTTTATGAAAGAAAGAAGAAGTTAAATCTATGAAACCATTTACAGTTCTACTTATGCTAATATTACTAGATTCATACTTAGGATCTATATGCAAGTCATGATTATAAGACTTATCTTGACAAATACAAGAATTTTTTTCATAAGTTTCCATGTTTTTGGTGCTTAAAACTGGTGTGCTGTTCTGAAATGCTAGCAACAAAAGGTAACTCAGGCCACAAAAGCCAGCTATCCACTCAGATATGCATGTATGAGCTTTGAAACAAAGAGCTTATGCAGAAGATGCTAGTAAGAGTAAAAAAATCTTACAAGATGAATAACAAGTAGATTTTTATTGTAGAACCAGCAATACAAGCTTTAGCAAACTTTTATACAAGACTGGGTTCTGATACCATTTACAAGGGGGTTACGAAAATGATCTATGTATAAAGGATTACGAAAGCTATATCTATATATCTATATATGGCTTGAAAGACAAAAAGAGATTAGAGAGAGAAAGTGTAAGAGAGAGAAAGTGTGAAGAATTGGCCTCCTCGAGCTAAGATACAATGAGGCTTTAAATAGAAAAATTCTAACCTATAAATAGTGCTTATGTACAGTTGCCCACTAAAGTGTACAGTAAAATTTTTATCTACAGTACTGCTATAGTGACTTGCTACAGTGTCTTTCGTAGTAGGTCTCTGTCTTTTTCTGCTACAGTGGCTGCTACAGTGACGTTTTATCTTCTGCTACAGTTGACTGCTATAGTATTTTCTGTCTGCTAGTCATTGGCGCCGAATGGAATTTGTCGTTTTGTGTCGGCTGTCTGTTCTGGCTTATTCTGGATTAGAATTTGCATAATTCATCCTTCCATAGCATTGGTTAAGTTATGGAATTCTTCATCCAGTGCGTTAAGGGACTGGGGTGAGTGTGGAGATCCTGAATGTGATTTGTTCCATATCTGCCATCCTTCTTGATACTGGTATAGTAAATTAGTTGGATGATCCAGATCTTTCATTTTAGATAATTTATCCAAAAGCTCAATTGCTTCTGGTGCATTTTCGATGTCAAGATCTTCATGTGGTTCAAGAAATCTTTTAACAAATATGCGTCTGCCATTTGTCCAATAGGCTATTTTTGGATAGTCTTGTTTGGTGGCTAAATGGAAAAAGAATTTTGCTTTGTCCATTAGGTTTGTTCCTATTTGGAAGTGATAGGAATTTGGGTTGGTATATTTAGAGATGATTTTGTTTAAATCATCAGAGAATTCGATATGGTCTGTGGCTAGATCAAGTATATCATAGGGTTATAGAAAGTGTCCACCAGATACGGTATCAAATTTCCATATTTGATAGGGTTGGTAAAATCTTTCTCGTTGAAAGGTACCCAAAAAACCGTATATAGTAAAATGAACGTAAAAAAGGTGTTTTGACCATTTGATACATTCAAAAAAGCATTGCTTTATAAAAGCTGGAAAATCTTTTAAAAGATGAAAAGAATAATTTTGT